TATACACATCTGCATGCATGTCTACCTATGCAACCACACACACATTTTTTGGGGGTTTTATTACTGTTGTTGCAAAATTGTGAATGTTGTAGCATTTACCCAAATTGTCTCTTGTTCTTGTGCGCTCACTGGTGCCATCGCTGACCTTGGTCAGGTTGTGCAGACATCACCCGAATGGGGCATTGCTCTTCCCATGACCAACAGCCATGTGTCCACTACCCAGGAAGTGATTGGCGTTCCTCCCCTCCCACCCCTGGGAACCATCAAAGAGCGTTGCCTTCAGTCTGTGCATCTAGTCTGGCTTTTTTTAAGACCATCCAATGTTTGTTCACTCAGAATAATGTCCCCCAAATCCACCCATGTTATGCTGTGGGAACTCATCATTACTCTCATAGCTGCATTGTAGTGCTGCAATGAACATGGGTGTGCTTGTCCATTTGAGTCACTGCTATTTGAGAGCGGGACTGGCAAAGATTTGTGCATTTTTCTTTAATTCCTTCTTTATGACTTTTTTCCTTTTGTTACTCATGTTGTATGTTTGTAGTTTATTTCTTTTAATTGATTAGGTTAGATATATTTTATTGTTTTTTTTTAAAATGTATTACTTATGTTACAGTTTTTCTATTTTCTAGCTCCTTAACTCTAGTTTTGTCCTTACCAATTTCCTCTTCCGCTTCCTTTTGTTTTTTGGTTATGTTTCTAGCCTTTTGATTTTGAGGTTCAATTAATTTTTGGGCTTTTATTTTTATTGCTATCATTAAAAGCTATACATTTTCTTCTTCCGAACTGTTTTACCTTTACCTCATACGTCCAAATATAGGGTGTTTTACTATGCTTTTCTAAAGTCAGCGCAGTACTGGTGCACAATCTGTCGACAGAATGTCAGCGTGGGATTTTACATTTCCAGGTAGCGAGCACTTTTCTGTTCAGGTTTTGTTACTGATTTGTAGGTGTACTGCATTGTGTCTTTTAAAATTTTCATTAGGGTTTCTTTGTGACCTGCCACATGATCACCTTTTGTGCTCTGGTGGCGTAGTGCCTAAGGCATTTGACTGCTAACCAGAAGGCTGACGGCTCAAACCCACTAGCCACTCCTCGGAAGGAAGATTGGGCAATCTACCCAATCTATCTAGAGATACCGCCTCGGAAACCCAAGGAGGGGTCACTGTGAGTCGGATCTGACTCGACGGCAGTGAGTTTGGTTTTTGGGGGTTTACAGTGGGAAGGGTGTATGTGGCTATGAGAACACAGTGGTGCAGACACTCTTGTTCCGAAGACCTAAATTCCTCCTCTTTTTAGGTTGCTGCATGGTGGCGCAGTGCCTAAGCCATCTGCCTGCTGACCAGAAGGCTGGTAGTTCAAAGCCACCAGCCACTCTGCAGAAGACTGGGCGATCTACTTCCGTTAAAGTTTAGTGCCTTGGAAACCCAATGGGGGCCACTGAGTCAGAATCGACTCGATGGCAGTGGGTTTGGTTTGGGGCAGCCTCAGGGTCACACATGGTCAAAGCCCCTCGTTCCCCTTCAGGAGAGCAACTGCTGTTATTGGGAACATCGTTGTGTGCGGCCATGTGCTTGGAGACCATTGCACTAGCATCCCTCTGTGCCCTTCCGCTGGCCTAGGGCTCGGGCCCAGCCGCCATCGTGCAGCTGCGGCTTCCTTAGTCCGCCTCCTTTGCCAGCGGTTAGACTTTGACCTGCCCACCTTCGTGCAGGCGTCTCTTGCATCCAGCAGAGTTGGGTGTTGCCTTGGGACCCAACCTGGAAGTCTTCTCCCTCTGATAGGGAGCTAAGACCACTTATTGACAGGAGAGGCTTAGACGTCGTGTCAAATTATTTTACAATTACCTGTGTGTCTCCCCCACTGGGGCTCATTTTCTTTCAGGGATGCCTTTGGACAAAGTCTCGCAAGAACAGGTGGGAGAAAAGCATCCGCTGAGTGGACAAGCCCCTGGTAGACGGTTGAGCACTCTGCCCAGTGTCAGGCTGGGGGCCTGGCGGGGCCCTCCTGAGAGCTCTGCCTTCACATCTCTAGGCAACACTGGAAAGGTGGAGAAGACACAGCCATGCCGCTGACGTCCGGGAAGCTCCTCTCCTGGTGACTGCTTGTGCCATCCTCCCGGGGGACCAGCCGCGATGCCCCCACGCTGCACCCATCTCCAGGATGAGGCGTCGGGCCATAGAGCCTGGTCCCCCCATGCTTGCTGTCTATCCTAGACGCATCTGGCCCTCTACTAGAACATTCACTGCTGGAGTGACTGTCTTCTGCAAGGCAGGGACTCAGGGCCACCTGAAGGGTGACCAAGTATTAATGACAACAGATATTAATGGACAACCACGGCTGAAGCTCTCGGTCGACTTCCCAGGTTCGGCGAGCCGTACTTCCTGTGACCCGCATGGCTCGGCAACTATCCCTTCACGACGATCGGGAAGGACTCAAAATGCCCGACTCCTCGGAGATCGGCACTGCAACATGGGTGGTGGGAAGCCTTCTGGCCCCCTCGCTGCGGCAGCCCTTTCCTTCTCGCCTGCAGCTCTGTCCTGCACTGCAGACAGCCTAGAATGTCCACAAGTGACTGCCTGTCCGTCTTCCCACAAGTTCCATCCATTCTTTCGGGCCTAAGGTTGGAGACACCAGCGTGTGCTCTGGCCTTGGAAGGACAGATTTGGATTCCCACTGACATTCTGACTCATAGCGCCCCCTTTGGGTTTCCAAGGTGGTAAATCTTTATGGAAGTAGATTGCCCAGTCTACCTTCCATGCAATGGCTGGTGGGTTTGAACTGCTAACTTTCTGGTTAGCAGTCAAATGCCTTAGGCACTATGCCACCAGAGGCGCTGGAAGCAACTCGGGGGGATGGGCAGTCAGACAGGGAATTGTGGGGAACAGAATTTCTAATAGGCAGATCTGCCTAGCCCTATGTTCTCCTCACCTTGTGTGGCAGAGAGGAGTCTAGAAAAGTCCAACATGGAGCTCTCTAGGTATGGCACCCAGGTGTGGAGGCGGGTGCTCTGGCTTTCTTCAGCATTATTCAATTCATACTGACCCACCATTGCCGTAGAGTCCATTCTGACCCACAGTGCCCCTAGAGGACACAGTGGAACTGCCCACAGGGTCTCCAAGGCTGTCAGTCTTCACAGAAGCAAAGCCCAAACCACATCCACTGCCTGGAGTCCATTCCGACCCACAGCGCCCCTAGAGGACAGAGTGGAACTGCCCACAGGGTCTCCAAGGCTGTCAGTCTTCACAGAAGCAAAGCCCAAACCACACCTACTG